CACCCCCCCCGCCTTCAAAAAAAGAAAAAAGAAGTTCAGTTTTAGTTTAAGTAGAGGTTTTACGGCACTCGCAACTGCATAAGGTCATATGAGCGCCAGAAGATTAGAGGTGTTACAAGAGAGTAACAAACATAAAAAAGAAGGGGAGATAAGGACGATAGAAGTTTGATAGGAAAGAAGGAGTAAACCACACCAGAGCACCCGCCAACCACTCGCAGAACGGCCTCATAGTTCAAGGAAGAAGCAAGACGGATAGACAGACAGAAACAACAGAGAGAAAGAAAAGAAGTAGGACCTATTACCAGTGGCACCCTCCAACCACACACTTTTAGTTTAGTTTTAGTGTTTGCAACACAATAAGGTGATAACAAGCGAGTAACAAACACAAAAAAGAAGAAAGAGAGATCAGGACAATAGGTGTTTGATAGGAAAGAAGGAGCAAACCACACCAGAGCACCAGCCAACCCTCCAACCACCCACTTTACCTGTTATGAGTCCAATGTGGTTCACAGTGGCTGTGACGTCTCGAGTCTTGTACATTATCTTGTCTGCTGGACAGATGTTTTGAGTCTGGCCTGCTATGAACACGCCCACAGTCCTCAGCATGTGCGTCATTTCCTGTGACGTCAGAGAGACTCGGAACCCTGGGATGGCCTCAAGTTTGTCCAGGGTGCCACCTGTGTGAGCCAGACCACGCCCGGAGATAGTCGGCACCTCAAACATAGGAAAGTGGGAACCAAATGAGAATTTAAGGATTTTAAAAATATTTTTTCGGGGTTGGTATTTTACGGCGCTCGCAACTGCATAAGGTCATATGAGTGTGCAGGACGCATCAAACTTTTTCAGTTGGTAGGAAATTTTGAATTTTGTCCAGGTGGCGGCCGAAGCCTACTCTTATCGATTTTTGGACCAGAAGGGATCTTTAACGTGTGCAACTTGCACACGGGACCTCTGAGATATTTTGCCCTTGTCCAAGAAGGCTTGGAGTAGATCTTACCTAACATAAGTTCAGGGGTGGGGCTGAAAGACAGCAGTAAGAAGGAGCCAAGCAGAAGCAGTAGAAAAGCAGCAGAAAGAGTCAGGAGCCCATAGGAGGGGGCAGAGGTGAGACGGTGAGGGCAGAAAGTGGAAACGAAAGCAAACGACATAACATTGTTAGAGAGCTAGAAAGGATGTGAAAGGAGACAATTTTAGAGAAGAAAAATGTTTCCGTCGCTATCCGGATTCGAACCCGGGACTTATTGAATGAGAGGCGACACCTTAACCTCTTTCCACGAGA